GGTCAGCCTCGCCTTACCAAGCGGGGCGCGGTCAAGGTTGGCCCAGCCGACCTTCCGCCCCTCGTGGTTTAGGTGGGGAGCCAGATCCCCGACTAGTTCCCCAAGTGGTCTCGAATCAAAAATGGTTAAATGAATGGAAAAGATGAACCATGACACGAGTGCAAAGTTGCGCAAAGAGGAAAGCTTATATGGCTAAGTGTGAGAATAAATAAAAACACAAGTGCGGAATGTCCAACAAAAATGAGAATAAAGACGACAATATAAGAGATCCATATGTACGATCTAAGGATCAGGCATGTTCTCAGGAACACCATTGAGGATAGTCTCAAAATCAAAGCCATGAACGGCATCTTCCAAGTCATCTGGAATATCCAAGTGCAAAAGGGACAAATCGTTCGCTTGCTCGTTGGCCCCGTCAGGATCTGGCATGATTTCGGGCAAACCAAATTTTTCGGGATCAAAGTCGGGATAGAACTCTGCCAGCCTATTGTACAACGTGGTCTGCATGTCGTATCGGCCACACCTGAAGGACATGAGAATTTCCTTATCCCGCCAAAGTTGACCCTCCTCGGTTTTCAACCATGCTTGGACCTGCTCTGAGCGGTGAGCCTCCAGCTTCGAAGCGATGATTTTTGAAAATTCCGGGGATGTTTGAAATGCCGCAACTGCCTGACGCCCCGCATCCGTGAACGATGCTTGCAGTCGATCATACTTCGATTGTAGGAAGTCATATTTTGACTGGAGCTCGGACAGAGCAGCTGTTGCTTCGTCCGCCCGACGCTGAACGGCAACCGAGTGACGGTGAGCCTCGTCAGCCTGGTGCTGGAGCTCATCGCGACGACGACCTATTGTTTGAAGCGCGACGGCTGTGTCCATCAGCCCCTGCAGGAGACGTAGAATTAGTGAGGATTATAGTGACAATGATAATAAAAAAGGAAGAGTGAAACATCAAATTACGGCATACCGCGCTGTAAGATTTGATAGAGCGCGCCATATCCAAAATCGATGAAGCACTGAGGGTAGGAGCTGGTTGGTTAACAAGAGGGGCCCCGTGTTGTTTTTCCACGATGAAGGGAATGACTTCAGTCCTCGAAGGCCGGAACCTGGCGTCCTCCTCTGCGGCCAGAGCAGCGAGCCTGCCCCGCATACCAGCAACCCCTGCAAGAAATAAACAGAGTAAAATGGATTAGTACCGATTGAACTATTTCTCCGCTCCCGAATCAAAGAGGAGGATTCACACCTTTCTTCTTCTTACCGGCTTGTTCCCCATGAGGTGGGGGAACCCCGCTCTTCACCCCGACGTCTACCTCGGGCATGGTGGCGTCGGGCATGCCCCTACTTGCAACGGGTACCACGGACTGGGGGGCAACACCCTGCCCGCTCTTCACCCCGGCGTCTACCTCGGGCATGGTGGCGTCGGACACGCTCCTACTTGCATCAGGTACCACGGACTGGGGGGCAACACCCTGCGCCGTAACTAGGCCTGCTTGAAAAAAAGAAGAAGAAGGAATAAATAATAAAAATAAACAAGAGGGTGGTGGAGTTATTTCAGCCGGGTCTTTCTCCTCTTGAGTTAGAGTGGAGTTCACACCTTTTCCGTCCATGGTAACCTGCTCTTCACGGAACGGGGAGGCCCCGCGCTTCTCCCCAAGATTGGGCGGACATAAATTCGCACCAGGCGCAGGAGGTGGGAGCATGGTCCCTAATGACACATTGGGGGAAGCAACTTCGTGTCTGTTGCCTGCCACATCTGAAAATATTAGCAAATTAAGGGATGATCTCATATGGCATCTGTGACCTGCTGGGACAGAAGATTTACCTGTATACGAATTAATCGGGAAAGGGCCCCCTTGGAGCAAGGCCTCGACCTTCTCCTCAAGGTCAGGGGTGAGAGAGGCAGGCTTGTACTCGCGCATTGAAATACCCCAGGTGGACGTGACGGGGAGCGAGCGGGGAGCGGATGCCCATACCCATTTATTCGACCACTTCCTAGGTGGATCTGGATACTGATCAAAAAGCTTGCGGTGCGGTAATTGGCAAAGTGACACGAACCCGCCGTCATCGGTCTTATTGTTAGGGCGGTTCCACCTAAAGCATGCACGGAACAACGGTATGGATGGCCGGATACCAACGCCACTACAACGTGCGACAAAAGCAGCCGTAAACATATGTGCGGTTGGGGTCATCTGGCACGGCGATACCCCGATATGGGCAAGGAGTGCCACCAAGAATGGACATAAAGGCACCCGCATGCCCCGCGCGATAGATGCAATGTGAACCCCGAAGAACGAATCTGGAGGAGGGCTGGTGAGGCTACTCTCGGGATCTGGCAACATGAGGGTGCAATTGCTATCGACCAAACTTTTCGCCAACTTCAAATCTGCCTCCGTACTGGTGGAACGCAAACGTTCCCTCCAAGCGTTAGGATCTTCGACGCTATCCGATTCGCCATTTGATTTGGGGGAGCTATCCGACTGTGAGGCAATGTCCACTACAGGGGTGACGTTGTTGGAGGATGGCACAGACTGGTCATGTGGCCCCCCCAGAGCAGGCCGGAGATGTCCCTTAACGATCACAATCCGCGTAGCGGGTCTGTCCAACCGCGAGGAGGTGGTGACCTTTTCATGCATCGAAAAATTATCGGAGACCCCTTGATTTTTCCCCGATGCCCCGAATTCGAGTTGAGACGTTGCATTCACCCCGCTGGCTTGAATTTGTTTAACAGAGCCTCCACGCACGGACTCTTTCCCCACCTCGCCACGATGGGCTCGTGCAACCAAGTTCCCAGACTGTGGCAGTGCGTCCGCCTCGCCCGGGGGGTCTCGCATAGATGATATTTGACCCGCTGGAGGTTTCTGGGATTGTTTGACAGACGGACGACGTTCACGGGTGGAGAGGGCACTATGATGAGCTCCGTGTCGTGAACTGTGTTGAGAACCTGTGCGTAGGCTTGGAACAGGCGGCGATGACTACTTTGAATCGCTGGGTTTTTTCCGACCGCCTGGGCTACGAGATCGCGACGGCGAACAACGTCGTGAATGACCCTCCCTCCGGCGCGACGGAGAAGGGGAGCCGCTGCGTTTCCTTCGCCGACTGGGGATGGAGCGACGCGGCGATGCCGTGACTGCGGCTGGAACGGCTGAAGCTGAGGGGACCTGCATGGCTGAATTGCGCGTGGATGATCGAGGGTGTTAAGGCTAGGCCACACTCGGATTCAAGGAAATTAAAAGAATATGGAAAGAAGAAAAAAAGGAAGGAAATTATTAATTGGAATAGCTCCGGGTTATTTTAGGAAGCTGGCTTGGGGTTTCTGTGACAAAACGCGAAGGCTTGGACGAGATTCCAACCCTGACTGCGGGATTCTTTATTGGTCGGGTGTGCGGCTAAAGCCCATGTATATCCGTCGCATGGTCAATATACGGCTACAGAAAAACAAGGCTCGTATTTTGGAATTTCAGGCCCAAATTATTGAAGCTGATGGGAAACGTTGCAGTAGGGAGCAAAGCAAAGGGGCCGATCAAGGCCTGCAAAGTATGGCCCCCCTACGGGCCAACGATTACGTTGACGAGCACCCCAGACTGCTACAATGGAGGTGCGACTAGCCAGCCGATCCGATAGACGAACCGATCGTTGATCAACTTGACTACTCCCTTCTAGCCGAGTCTGCTACTCGACTAGGGGAGTGGGGGACTCGTGTTGGGATAATGGGCCAGGTCCAATACTATCGACCCAATATGCCTGGGCTCGGGCGCGAACCAGGCCCAGCACACGGTCCGACTAGATAATATGGTCCTTGGATTGATTAGTTTAACTCTGGGCCCGACCAGCCCATTGGCCTGGGATCAGGCTTCTTGTTTTAGTTGTTTAATTGGGCCAAGCCCATTAGTATTCAAGAAACCTCTTGTAAGCGCCTATAAATAGGCCGCCCCTCTTTTTGTATTGGATAAGTCACTTTTACTGTACTGAATTGCTGCCGAATTTTCTACTCAACACATTTTCTACCAACAATATGTATATTAGTATGATATAATATACTAACAAGATACAAAAGCTCTTCATGTTCTTGTGTCTAGCTAGTCAAAAACTTTCAATACAAGAAACTTTTAAATCTACTAAAAATAATTTCCAAGTCGGTTTAATTAAACTCCTAAATTATTTTCCTCTATTCTCTATTCCAAATGCATCAAACTTTCTTTCTTTAATATTTTTTGTAAGCAGGGACTCTTACTCAATGAAGTGTGACATATTCATTTAATTATCTTAATTTTACTTATACTTGGAGATTTAATAAGCTTTAAATTATTTTCATAGACAAATATGTATAGTAACATATGAATGATGATTAACATTTTGATGGTGCTATCTTTTTAATTAGTTTATGAATTTATGAATGATGATTAACATTTTGATTAAGGTGGTTGTGTGTTGTTTAATTTATAGATTTGTGGTTCGATATTTTGTTAACTAATTTAAAATTTTGTCTAATACTTATATTTTGAATTATTATATTTTGGTTACATTAATAGATAACTAATTTGAGAATTTCATAACTCACTAAAAACTTTGCTTGCATAGCCGTATTTTTTTTACAAAAGAAGAACCGAGGACTCGGACCGAACCGGCCCATTTCAAATGGGGCGGGTAAGGTTTAATTCCTATTTCGAAACTTGGTATACCCGGACCAAACCTACCGTTAAATGGAACCGGCGATTCTTGAAAATTTATCAATTACCCAGACCGACCCGGACCGTGTCCACCCCTAATATCAACTACTACCTGTCCCAAATTGATTTGCAAAATTGATTATTTTTTAGTTAGACATTTCATTTTATTCACTTAATTATGATGCCGATTTTAATTATATTCTAATTTGAAGTTTGCAACTTTGAAGAGATTTTAATGTAATTTCAGAATATGTAAATTTTAATTATTAAAAATTGAACCAAGTATCAATAGGAATGATTTAACTTTAACATTAGTTGACAAAACATTATTGACTCTGCAAATCAATTTGGAACAGACGAATTATTTTGAATTATTTGCAAAATTATTAACACAAAAGGAATAGCAGTATCTAGTCTTCAAATATGGGAATCTCGACGAATTTGGTTTATTAAACTATTAGTATTATCAAACTACATGAATTACAACAAACCTTTTAAAACACAACACAGGAAAAATTCCAGCTCAATGAACTGAACTTATCACAACATACATGACAACGGTTTTTCCCCTCCTATTTGCTGACAACTACGAAAACACACAGAGCCAACTCCATTGTACGGCATCAAATTCAGGCACACAAGGGTGCCTCATTAGTGACCGTTGATATCGGTTGAATCTTTTGCTTTTTGTGAGTAGAATCTTCGATACATGGAATCAACCTCAGTGAGATAGTAAGTTCCTGGAGCTAAGAGGCTGCAATCCTTGCTTGTCACAAAGTCCTTCGCCCCATACCTGTGCTCCATCAATTTCAGTACTTCAATGAACTTTTCTGGATTGGTCTGCACCAAAAGAAGAATGTTTCTCAAAATTGATCTGTTTTAGCAGGAAGCGAACATCGTTGCAACATAGAACTCTAACTTGAAACCAAGCATTCCAGCCCAGCTGGTTGTGAGGTTACCGTGTCTAGTGAGAGGTCTCGAGTTCGAATCCCACTAGGCACATATGGGTTTGAAGCTCAATGGAGTGAGCTTCAGACCTGATTACTCCAGGCTTCCCTCAGCCCCCTCCCTCAGACCCCCCTGGAGTAATAAAAAAAAATAGAACTCTAGCTTGAAACAGCAGCACCTCCAGTGGGAGGATTATCCTCAGATTAAAAAAGAAAAAGTAATACAGTAATACTAATAATAAACCTCACACGATTAACCTGTTTCAATTGTGGGAGATTTTTCTTTTGGAATTCAAGGTTGACGTCCTGAAGGGTCAATTTAGTAAACAGACAAAATACTTTTCTTATAAAAAACCAAATACTGTATTTACTAGGACAAAATGGGATCCGAATGTCATAGTCCAGCGCATTTAGTTTAAACAAGGTTGATGGCCGAATTGACCATTAGTGTAATAGTGTATGACGAACTAATCTGGTATCAACTCGTCTCAGTATTGTGAACACGAGTTTGAAAAGAGTGAGAAGAATGGAGATGAGTGGCCGGAAGCAAATAGAGCTCAAAGAGTCAAAGATGTGTGGGGCCCATTAAAAATTTCTTAGTTTTAGTTTGGTTTATGATGATCGAAAAGATTGTGAGGTCATATGTTTTGATGTGACTGATGTGGTAAATACAACGGACTTTTGTTTTACTATGCTCAGTATATACTGGCTTTGGTGGGACTTTTCCAAGGGCATATATTTCCTTTAAATTTTGCATCATTTCATTTAAATATTAAGTCAAGAAAGGACCGGTGGGCGTAGTTCAACTGTTACGAGTGCCACAAGGGTTAGGTCCCGGGTTCGAATCCCGGCAACTGCGATGAGAGATTACTATGCTAAAAAATGCATAAGACCTCTGCAAGTTAAGAAAAGAATTACAGAAAAAAATTACTCAGTATATACCTCGTGCCTCGCCTTTAACTTCCCATCGACATTCAAGATGGTTGCAATATTTGACAAGCTGAATGGATGTTGACCTTCCCGCAGGCGAAGTGAAAACATTGTAGCAGTCAACCCACTACCGTATGAGAACATTATCACCCGTTGTCCAGGCTACACCAAACATACAAGTAATAAGATTAAAAACAACTTAGGGTCCATTTTGGATAAACTTTTTTGGGGCAGTTTGGAGGGGAAGGCATAGTCCGTATCTTGATAAATAGAACCTCTCAATTTTTATGAAAGCTCAAATCTATATTGTGATGTAGACTAATCCTTCTATAACCCTTCATCCAAAATAGGTCCTAAAATGTAAGTAATTCTTATATATACCAAAGAGTTATGCTTGTTGTGGAGGAGGGAGATAAATGCAGCGTAGAGGGATGCAGTGTACATATTGCCAACTTGTTTGGGCACCAATGTTGTAGGCTGCACCTTTTCATCGTAAAATTGTTTTGCAACTTGCTGTGATGCCTATTTATGAGAAATCCATGAACTAGATAGTTAGCTCAACTCCACTGTCAACTATAGGAATGAAGAAGAGTTAATTATAATTAATTAAATGTGGAAAACCTTTTCAAGATCACGACTAGAGTAACTCTCTTCGCCAGTCAAGGATAAAAATGGTGACAGCTTTTCCTTGGAAGCCTCATCGATATAGCTGTGAATTCCAATTAAAAAATGAAATCAAATCATAATTGCACAAAAAATTACTACCTAGGCAATCCAGTTATCCTTGCCCGTGTATGATTTTTTCTCACTAAGACCCAGAATAAGTCTGCTCGGGGCCTGTTTGACTGAAATGGCTAAATCACCTGATGTTTTTGAAAGGAAAAACACTTGGTAATATTGCTCAGCCAAATTAGTAAGTCAAAGGCTGTTTAACTGGGTTATTCTGCTTAAAAATAACCCAATTGGTGCCTACTAAACCTGGCCTAGTTAAGGCTCCTCCCAACCATGACAAAACTCAGCCTAGGCAGAAAGCTCCAGTCTCTTTAAAAATAATACATGCAATACATATTACCAATCTGTACTCATCTCACCTGGCATTTCTCACAATGTCATTGAAAATCAGTCGAGCAAAACTCTTTTGCACAAGCTGAAGATTAAAAATTCCACATTATAGAGCTAATAATAGTTGTACTCTCTCACTTTAGTAGGACACAAAAAGGGTAGAAAGGATGATATAATAACCAAACTAGTTAACTAATAACACAACAAACAACCATTTACCTTGTTGTAAGGAGAGTGGAAGACAAAGTAACTAGCCTCAGCCACAGAAAACGGCTTGCCCTCTGTTTTTTCATGCCTATATGATATGAATATATGGAAGATAGAGCAGCAATCAGAACAGTGTATCATATTTATTCATGGATAATAATTGTAATTAAAGCAGTTTCTCTTACTTATGGCATAAGCTCTTGTAGCACGAATCAAGCGCCATTAGATAGCAAGTCTGTGAAAGCTTACCATCAACAACCTGTGTGTAAGAAAAAAAGGCAATCAATCTCATGTGAACCCACAATGCCCCACACTCCAATCCACGCCAAAAAGGAAAAAAAAGAGAAAACTAGAATGGAGTTATACCGGATATTCACTGTCAAGAATAGGCTTGTAAAAGTCATAAACATGAGCCATATGGCTAGCCCTGAATTTGCTCTCGAACACAATAGGAGCATCTGGTCCTATTAGCATAGCAATGGCTGCTGCTCCTCCTGTTGGACGAGCAGGCCCCTCTGCATAGACCTGTCAAAAGATTCATCGCGATAAGCCAATGTCATTTGTTACAGGTTGGTAAAGATTAAAGAGCACAGAATTAAACTTTGAAGCTTAAAGATCATGAAAATGTAATAATCATACCGCACTATCAGTGCATACAACCAAGCCATAGCGTCCATCCCATGAGCTGCTTTCAACCCAATTCACACAGTTAAGCAATGCAGCTGTTCCTCCATAGCATGCATTACTTGAGTCTACACCTTCAATGTCGGTGTTACCACACTTCTGTTCATTGCAAACATCAAGGGAACGGCATTAGTTTTGTTACAGAGGTCGACATACTACAGCTACAACTTTAGAAAATAAACAATAAAATGGAATTATCCTAATCATTGTGAAACAATAACTTTAATGTGTCACATGTCTTGCTGCTGCCTGGCTATTCTTGCTTGCGCGGTGAATGAGGCCTTGGCTCTTTTGCTTTTATTTTCCGGCTAGAAATCTTATGTGATCTTACTAAAATTCGGTGGAGAAAACCCATACCCTAGGTGGCTTATATTATTAGTTAAAACAGTGGTATTCTTACAGAGATAAGAATTGGTACCTCAAATATTTGCATCAGGAATGTTTTGATTGATTTGCTTTTGTCTATAACAGTCTCACTTCCAACTTCGAGTCTTCCAATTTGCCTTGGATCAACGTCATACTTCTCAAGAAGTGATGTAACCGCGGTCAAACTGCATATCAGCAAATCAATACGTTAGCCACATTAAGACCTTACTTAGCATGATTTGACAGGAAAACTATAATACAAAGAACAACTTCAAAACACTTTCCACAGCAAGTTAATTTTATGCGATCAAATGGAGCCTTAGCAAGCATAAACTTATCGAATTAATTAAAGAATACTCAAACCTAGGGATCACCTTATCATAGCCTGACCATATTATAGAATATACAATTTGTTCAGAGCTTGAGGTATACCTCATGGATATGACATCTTCCACCTCACTACAAAAAGCCATGCAATCTTGACCAAGACCGATTGTGTATTTTCCTTTGCTTGCTCCATCATGAGCCTCTAATGCTTCCTACATTCAAAATTTACCAAAATCTGAAACTCTTAGCACTCATATCAGATAAATATATAGACCAAAAACCAATATAGAACAAGTGACCAAACAATAACAGCAAACAAATAAAATTGCTACCAAAAGTAGCTCAACATAGGGAAAAAATATATCATAAAATTAGTATTACAAAGAAGAGTTAGATTATCAAGCAAATTTTGTGAAGTGGAATTTTTTCCGTATTGATACAATATCATTCTTCTCTCAGAAAATTTCCTAAAAAACCAGAGCACAAAATAATGTCTGAGAGCTTCAAAAAATATTTAAAAAATGAAATAAATAAAACAGCATTTTCCACCATGATTAGGAGGTGGGGAGGAGGAGACAGCGAGCGTACCTGCTGGACGCATGTGGGAGGGAAGTAAATATCGACGGCGAGAACTCCGACATTCTTCTGCTGGGAAGCCATTTAAGATTCCGGCAAACGGGCAGCCTGAGTCGGAATAGATCCGGAGAACGAGAAGCAAATAATGAAACAGCAGCGGCACGTCTGGCTCACCCTCACTGCACTCGCTGGATGAAGGAGAGAAAGAAGCTTAGAGAAGGAGAAATGGAGTGCGGGAAAATCGGAGAAGAGCGAGTTAACTCGTTGAGTTGGTTGTTGGAAATGGCGAGTTGATGCCTGTCACCGGTTTCCGTTGGAATATATATAGGATCGCCAGTTTGTCATCCATTTCCATTCTCCCTTTTTCCAGCCCCCAAATGCAGACTTCGTGACGGCCAACATATTCAATTCAATTATTCATTTATTTTTTTACTTATTTTAGTTCTCCTTCTCCCAACTTTTTCTTGTTTGGTTTCGTATTTAAAAATTTGAAAGAATTTAAAATAGTGGTACAAAATATTTAAAATACGAGCTATATTTTTTTTAAAAAATAAGATTATATTATTATTATCATTCATGTTTTAAAATTGACACCCTAATATGAGAGTGTTAAGATTAGGGCTGACAATATCACACGCACCTACGGATACCCGATCAAACTGAGCCGAAAATATGGACCAGAACTCGAAAAGTATGATTGAAAAATGGATGACGGGTGGATTGAAAAACATGTTGGATCGGATGTGGATGAACACTCATCCGATCCATCACCCGATCCATCCACCCACCCGCTAACCCGCATATAAATAAATTATATATATATATAATATCTATTTAATAATATAAATAATAATTAATATTAATAAATTAATAGATATGTACTCGTATTTGTTAATGGAGAAGACATGTATACATGAATCGGTGAAGTGGCATTTGAACTGCAAAAATATGTTGTGCCGATGCAAAAATGTAGAATTTGATAGCTTGAAAAAGTTTTATGTCTATTTTGTCTGATAATCAATTCTTTCTTTACCAGTAGTGAATTAATGATTGTAATATACTCCCTCCGTCCCAATTTGATTTGCAAAATTTCCTTTTTTGGTTGTCCCAAAATGGTTTTCCACTTTCTATTTTAGGTATGTAAATAAGAATAAAGTGACAAATTTACACTTACTTTTACTTTTTCCTCATTAACTTAAAGATATCTACTTTTAGAAAGATGAGCAAAAGTGTAAAAAGCAACCATCATTTATTGTCATTTCTTAATCCTTGTGCCGGTCAAAGTTTGCAATTCAAGAGGGTGTAGTGGTGTAGTACTCCATCTTTGAAGTCCACACTCCAAAGTCCAAACAAATAAACGGCAATCGGATTTAGTCAATACCGCTACAAGATCGGGAAAATTTCATCAAATTCACAATGTTTAAATCTTTTGATTAAGATGATCAAATCACAATTAAATAAATTAGATTGATGATTGCATGTTAAAGCAGACTTAGACTTGGACAATAGTAAAATAAACTGATATCACATGTTTCCCGTAACAGACCATTTTTACCAAAACAGATTAGATAAGGTCATCAAATTAGAGATCAATTGCACACAATATTTATATGTGCGAGTTGGAGTAGTAGGCATGAAGGCATCTCCCTTCCATGTTTCTTTAGTATTTAAAGGTCATACCAGACAAATAGAAACAAATTTCCCCAATAAGACTGGATTCTTTATAATGCGATATTAATTTGAAAAAATTCTTCTTCATTTAGAAAGTCTAAACCCTCCACGCACAGCAATAAGTAGAGACATTAAATAAAGAAGACAAATATGAAAAACATATATGCACACTGTAATGAGGGTGTCCCTAATTCGGATACTGGAGGATTTTAAGGGAGTTTAGAATTCCGTCAGAATTCAGGTGTCCCCGATTTGAATTTTTGTGAAATCCATAAAAAAATGTTATCCTCAAACATTTTGTGGATTTCTGTTGTTACTTATTTGCACAGATTTTAATGGATTTCGATGGATTTCTATATACTAAAACAATTCACCAGAATCTTGTAGACTTCTCTCGAATTTCAAAATCTACATCTTTTAAAATCCAACAAACTCATAATTGGGGACACCCTCATAAATGTAGTCACAGGATGAACAAATACCCAATCTTTCGGCTTTTACTAAACAATACCATTTGTTCGTCTAAAATATTATGTGTTTCCCATGTAATGGCATATACTCATTTTTAGGGCCTCCTACGAAGAGCCCAACCTCAACAAAACACACACATATACATATAAATATACATATAAGGGAAATACATACTTCGTACAAGGGAAATTGTCATACATAAGCGTTTTTGTACATGTAAAACAAATTTTGGCTCATACAAAAAATATACTACTTCATTCTGTGCTTTAAAGAACTTCTCATTCCTTTTATGAGTGTTCCTAAATTAAGTCTCTTACTTAATAATGACCTAATAGAATCAAACAGTGTAGAAATAATGTATTACTGTGTATATAGTAAAATCTACCTCTTATTACAAAAGGTATTTTTGAAAAATAAAGGAAAAATAGATTTATTTCATTAAAATGTGTGCTTTTCAAACCGTAGTGCTAGGAAAAAGTCCAATTCCTTCCATTCGGAGGTCACAATACCATTTCCAGAGTACCTTAACATATTTAGAGCCCGTTTGGTGGCCCCTTTTTCGGCTTATCACACTTTCGGCTTTAAAATAAAAGCAAAATCAGAATCAGTTTTCAGAAATTGGTCTTCCCCGGCCTCTAAATTTGATTCTATGAATTATCAGTCAAACACTTCAACTTCAGTTTCTGTTCCCTGAAGGAGTAGAAACAATTTTAAGAATCAGATCGAAACACCTCTTAAATTGACACACATAGCCATTTCTATTTCTATGTCTTCATCCATTTTCTTTTATTTGCTTTTGATTTATCTCTTACCAATTTTTGTTTGATCACATTTAAGATGATCGACGATCTGAAACTAACGGGATTTAAATAATCTTAGTTCATAATTAGTCATGTTTTAATGAAGAGTACTAGAAAAACACATAATCAAAATGCACAAGAATTATTTTAGAAAAGGATTTTATTCTAGTGTTGGGATATTGGGGAGAAGGCCCAATACCCGGCCCAAAGACCACTAGGGAGAACGGGCCCAGGAAGAGCTTTACCGGGTCCAAGAAGATATTTCAGATTGACGCGGGTCCGATACTCGAACGGGAAATGAGGGTCCACAAGAGTTCACTCGCGTCTCGAATAAGGAACGGCTCACATGATTACTTGAGGCAGATTGACGAGACACCATATAGGACCGCCATTCCGCTGCTCAAACGGCAGTCTGCAAGTGGCAAGGTGCATTAAATGCTAGAGTATGGCGTCAGCAAGTGGAAACATGGACGTTCAAGCGGCTGGATTAGCAACCAGTCAAATTCAGCCACGTAATCACCCCACCTACCCCCTTTTTAGTATAAATAGGGATATTAATTACATTGTAACGGGTTAGCATTTTGATACTCAGAGCCTAAAATAGCTTTCTCACTCTTGTTCTTGTATTAATCATTGTTCCGACGTGCCGTTCGGGAAGTTTCCTGTGTAATCAGCGAATTACTTAATACGAGTGGGCTTTTGAGCACAATATTATTAAGCTTTTATATTTTCATTTACCCTCGACCTATTTTCCACATCCTTAATATCCAAAGCGTGTGTTGGGCTTTCAGATCTGCGAGACTTAACCTCAACATTGGCGCCGTCTGTGGGAAACTTGAACAAAAAGTTTTCAAACCAACCATTTACCCAAACATCAACCTACTATCAAGATGGTCAGAATCACCTCTCATCATACCAATGAAGGTTCGGAGTGACACGGAGGGAGCAGGACTCTGGAGAGCTGGACCCTAAGGGCAATCCAGTCGGGGATCTTACCAACATTTTGATGGGGACTTCTTCATCCCCGAAGCACTGAGGAGGAACCCCCACGCCATGCGAGATCTAGCCCAAGTAATGCAGTAGATGGCAGATGAGCAAGACGGGGGGGATCTTGCTACACAGGGGAAACCGGGTACACAACCCTGTCCCCATTCTGTCGGATGCAACCATTTGATGAGGAGACCACTGATACAGAAACAACCACGACTTCGGCCCATTCACGAGCCCATCGGGGAGATCACCGAAGGACTCACACGGTCATGGAAAGGCAACACACTCCCAGTGACCATACCCCGACCGGGTCCCGAGCCAGAGGAACCACGCCAGTTGGGCACCGTTCCGGTATGAAGAACGTGATGGCACCAGATTCATACAGAGACGTCAGAATCAGAGAACACCCCCACCAAAAGGGAATCGGGAGTTTGTTGATCTAAGAACTCCACCACCACCTCCCCTAACGGCCCAGGAGGAAGAAATGGCCGGAATGAGGAGGTATATGAATGAAACGAGGGATCAGATGAACATGGCACCCCTACAACCTACCCCGGTGTTGGCCCGGATCACTTCCCCCTTCACCCAAGAAATAATGAATGCTGAGATCCAGAGGGATGCCAAACCACCAACCGGTCAGACATATGACGCGGCAGGAGATCCCCACGTACATTTGAGAAGTTACCAAGGAGGGCTCATGCTGTTGGGAGCAACAGAGGCAGCCATTTGCCAACTGTTCTTCAGCACGCTCAGGGGGGGCGCCCAAGAGTGGTTCGGGACCCTGCATCTCGGATCGATCGGCAGCTTTGCCGAATTATCATCCTTATTCTTGGCACAATTTACTTCTAGTGCCACCCCAAAGCAGCACTTCAGTTACCTAACCAGTGTTAAGCAGGGACCAAGGGAATACATCAATCAATTTCTGAAAAGATGGAGGGACGAAACCCTAAAGGTTGGAGGCATGATGGAGAATACGGCAATCACCCTATTTACTGATGCCCTCCGAATCGGAGAACTGTACAAGGATTTGAAAAAGAATCTGGGCACGGCATACGCCGAAGTACTGGATAGGGCCCGAAAACATGCAACATTTGAGGAAGAGATCATGATCCGGGATAAGGTGGCTACACCTTCTGCACCAACAAAATTGGCCGATCAGCTGGGGCCTATCCCAGCGGCCGCACCCCCTCCGAAGCCAGGGCGTTTCACCCCTCTTGTCCTTTCCATTGTGATCGTTTTCTTGAACGAGAAGGACAACATCCCCCCTTCAACTGATACCAAATCTTTTATGGGATCAGATGAAAATGCCTTCTGTAAATACCATAAACGGAAGGGTCACTCCACCCATTTCTGCCAAGCATTACAGATTGCTAATGAAGAATTGATCCAGCGGGGTCACCTCGATAAATATGTGAATAAAGACCCGAACGTTGTAGGCCCCCCGAAGCAGTTCAAGAAACCCAATAGTTGGAGACGGGATGATCAGCGAGATGCTGAGCCCAGAAATGATGCATACATCCCTCCCAGGGATGAAGCATAGGGTTTGGGGAACCTAGGAAAAAAGCCAAGGATGGAGGTGAAGGTTATATTCGGGGGCGGGGAAACATGGGATTCAACTACCGAATGGAAAAGGTTCGAACGGAGCCTCTATGTGGGATCCGTTTCCACCCCCCCCCCCCCCCCCCCCCCCCCCCAAAAAAAGAAAGTAAGAATGGAGCCAATCATGTTCGGACATGCAGATGGGCCCAACTCACCAAGTCCGCACAGGGACGAATTGGTGATAAGCATGTGTATCGACAACGCACTGATCCGCCGGGTGTTGATAGACACAGGGAGCAGTGTGAATGTGTTGTACCTACACGCGTTCGAGAAGATGGAGCTGCAGAGGAATCAGCTGGTCCGCCTGAAGACACCACTTGCGAGTTTTACTGGGAACTGCATCGAGACAGAGGGAGCTATCCAATTGTTGGTTGAGATTGAAGATGAGACGCATAAGGCATCGGTCCGAATGACGTTCGTGGTGGTGGACATCAAATGTGCCCACAACGCCATTTTGGGCCGACCAGGATTGGAAGACCTTGAGGAAATAGCTTTTGTCCGGCATTCGTGCATTAAATTCCCAACGGATACTGAGGTCGGGGTGGCTCGGACAGATCCGGCAACAGCCTGGACCTGCTATCGGGAGGCCTTGAAAAAGATGAATACCCGAGGGATGCGGGTAAACAACATTGAGGTCAAAAACACCAGACCGAGTTTGAGGCACACCCCGAGCCGGCTACTCTCTTGGAACATATCGATATAGATTCTCCCCCTGACCGGAAAGTGGCGATCGGGGTAAACCTGGAAGCTGGAATTCGGGAGGGTGTAATTACAGTTCTGAAGGAGTTTCAGATGTTGTTTGCTCGAGGACCAGAAGACATGTCGGGCATTGACCCGGAGATAATCTGCCACAAGCTAGCTGTTCGGCCTGACGCCAAGCCGGTTCAGCAGAAAAAAAGATACCAGGCAGCCGAACGATGAGAATTTACCAAGCAGAAAGTAGCCACCTTGCTAAAGATCAGGCACATCCGGCCTGTAATCCATGTCGAATGGTTGGCAAACGTCGTGCTTACACCAAAGGGACCCACTTGGAGGATGTGTGTGGATTATTCTGGTCATATAGATCCTTCTAACGACATAATATCTAGCAAAAAAATTCATCATTATTGTAGACCTAAAACTAAAGACATCAACAAAAAACATAGCAACATAAACAAATACTCGATAACGTGAAAGTACTCCCAGCTCCTTCTTGCTAGTATGCTTAAAGTATCATCTTCCAAACCCTAGCACCTTGATTGCTCCAGGGCACCGGTTCAGGAGATGGGCGGGCTGCCAATCTATCTTCTCCCTTGCTTAGGACTCGATCGAGAAATTGTCTCACTCGAGCAACCCCATTTGCCTCCACCCTGAGGTGGAATTCACTCAAACATGACCCAATCCAATCGCCCCATCCATTTGTCACCTGCGTCCAACACAGTCCCAATCGCACCCATTGAACGATCAAGCTGAGCGGAACTGACCAGACGATTTTCCAATCAAACGTATCAATCACATACCTCCAAATTCGATTGATATCAGCACGTCTAGAAGAATAAACCATAAAGAAGCAGACCATGGAGAGGCAGAGACTGATAACAACCGCCCTCCCACTGTCGCTCCAAATTATTCACCGGACAAAGAAACATCGCAAGATGACTGGCGAAAAAACAAACCCTAGACGAAAGCTAGGGAGAAGACCACAAAAAATGGCACTCAATAATGATTCTGTTAACTATTTAATCTAATCGAACGGAAAGGCGAGGAACGAATGATGATTTTGAAGAATTCTGATTTCTCCTCCGGCACTTCTCTGAAGATATAAAAAAACCTTATTGCTTAATAATATTGGTTTGAATCATCATCATTGTTTATTTAAGATAATAAAATAAAATAAAATACAATAATGATGATAAATTATCATATACTACCTCTGTTCTTAAATAAATGCAACATGTTGAATTTTACACTATTCACATGTTCTAATTTGACTACATTTTATTTATTAATGTATGAATATATATTTTTTAAAAAAATAATGTTAAATATGTCTCATTGTAAATTTTCAAAATCTATTTTTTTTATTTTTTTATTAATAAAGAATTATATATATTAATGGTCAAAGTTGTGTCTCGGCAAATGTGAAATGTTGACCGTTGCATTTATATAAGAACGAAGGAAGTAGTTTAGACCGGTTTGTTATAGATATACGGAGTATATATTACAGTCTTAGCTTGTATTGACTCTTAATTAGCTTGCCTAATTCCTTTAAAATTAAAAAAAAATGTATTTATAGTGTCTCCATTCATACTTTTTAAATAAATTTTTTCTCTCTTACACATTATTGGACGTCACATTCACCCATAAATAAATTTTTAGTTTTTTAAGACAAGCACTAAATGTATTTTAACTACAATCTAAAATAGTGAGGATTTGAATCTAGATGGTGGGGGCGGTGCTTCCATTTCATTTTCGAACCATTGTGCTAAAGCACTTCTTATGTACTCCATATTTATTCACTACAAATTTATCAATTTGGTAATGCTCTTTCATTTAGATCTTTGACCTTTCTCCTAAAATTTAGTTATATTAATATGAAAATCGCAAGTTTTTTTTGTATTTTGTATTTAAGACCTCATTTTAAATTTGGAACAGAGCCTCTAAAAAAATGTTAGGTATATACTACGTGTCAAAGACCCGTGAACTATCCAGCTAGCATAATGTTTGTTTGTTTATGAAGACTCCACACCCCTAGTTAGCTTTTTTTTGCATTTAAAACGCGTTTTAAACGCATACCGTTTTTTGAACAAAAAACACGTTTAAAATGAAAAATAATGTACAAGTGTGCTAGTACGTATGTTAATATACAAGTGTGCTAGTACGTATTTTATTTGCATGTGGTTCCAATACTTCAAGTGTTCTATGTCTGTTATCTTAGAAGCTCCTCTCTCACTCATTCTTTCACTTCTTATAAACAATCAACTATTTTATTTATATTTCTCATTTTCAACTTCTGTAACACCGGGCATTTTATTATTATGGAGTATTATGACTTATTTTTCGTAAGTCAATTTCCTCTTCTCTCACTAGAGCTTTATCAAAATCATTGAAAGAAATCAATTCTTCAAAGGTATGTTATGGTATCTATATTTTCTTTTCCGTGTGTGTGTGTATATATATATATATATATATATATATATATATATATATATATATATATATATACACACACACACACACACATATGATAGAAAATCTATTTAAAACAGAAAATAATCTTGAGGTTGATTACTAAAAGAATATACGGAGTAATAAGTATCGATGCTAATATCTGCAGGAAATGACGATTGCTGAAGATTTTGAACAAATTCGTGCCGATAACGTGTGATGAAATGAAGAAGACGGAAAATAGATAAAAACCTCAGAATTACTTCTTAATATGAAAATTTCTTAGTTGAATTTACAAAGGATTGATCACCTTATTTATACTAGTTGGCTAGGAGATGAATCATCAAAGAATGATTCTACATAATTTGTTGACAACATCAAACTTAGTCATCTGTCTATTACAAGGATTGAAATGAGATTAGTGTCCTGATTACAAGGATTAGTGTAATTGATTGATTGGATTTTTTTGAGAGTATGTATTAAAGGATTTTCAGATGTCTTAGCGATAAGCTTCATAAAGCATTGAAGGGGTTTAAAATTGATAGCTTTAATGTGAACTAGGGGTGGACCCGGGCCGAGCCGGTTCGGGGCCGGGCCGGTTCCGGTTCGGGGCCGGGGCCGCTCAGGCCTTTTTTTGGGAAAGGGAGAATCGGAACCGGCCCGGGTAGACGGCGGTTCCGGGCCGGGACGGTTCCGGTTCAATTTTTTTATTATTATTTATTTCACCCGCACCCCCCATCCCTCCCCCCACCCCCAAACCCCTCGGAAACATCCAACCCAGCCCAACTAACCCCAACCTAAACGAAAAAAAAAAAACAAAAAACTAAAAAAGGCTCAGACCAGCTCTCGTAAATCAAGGCCCGTGCCCGAAGCACCCTACCCGATCGGGTTGGTTCAAAGCCCGAACTGCCCTTCCGTCACCTGGGCCGGTCCGGTCCCACATAGTAGCAAGCCGGGCCGGTTCACGGGCCGGGCTGAACCGGTTTGGGCCATCCCTATGTGAACATAGAATAATTAACTGGGAGAGTAGGGAAGAAATAATGTGAAACCGGCCGAGTTAAATAATACTTTGCCAAAATTTTTGATTTTGTAGCAATGACTTTCTTTCTATCCTATATTCAGAGAAATACATACAGCTTCATCGATTATTTGAGTTGTCAAGGTATTACAATTATTATTATATAATAATCACGTACTCACGTTTGCAATATTTTTTGCAGTGAAAATTTGAAAAAAGAAGTGAAAAATATGTATATTGACAAATATAAAGGGCTTGATCAACACATTCACTATTGTTTAGCGAGTCTTTCGCTCAAAATCCTCACTCCCATATACCTGCACATCGCAAGAAATATTCAAATATCAACACCGTAATATAAATTTACCTTTAAAAATTAGGATTAGTACCACAAATGATGTCATTTGCACCATGTAATTTTCCCCCAATTTCGGTCACCATTTACTTGGCGTCCCACACATGAGACAATATAATAGAGACATTTATTGTGCGTTAACCTTTTAAAATATACATTTAAATTCATTCAGCCAATTTCAGTAGTAAAATACATTTATTAATTTTGTGAGTAACTTTTCGTGCAATATACTACGTATTCACTAAAAACAGTGAATATATTAATTTTAGTCAATCATACATAATTAGCTTTTCTTAATTTTATGAATAAAATATAGTTTACGTATTTTCCCGATAATTCAGGCATTCACCAGGTCCAGCCAATTCAGCTAAAATTTCAGCAATATCAACATATTCAGTTCATTTAATTAATTCCATTGTTATCAAATCAGCTCTAAATTTGAAAATAAGTCGTTTCAAAGATTTTTTGAAAAATATACTTCCTCCGCTCTTTGAATTACACATTTGCAACCACATAGCTCAGACAGTTAAATATACTAGATTGACTATTACTAAAAAGTGGCTCTGATATCATGAATCCAATCATATGTTAGCTGAGTCCAATTTTTTTTAAAAAAATAAGGCATTAGTCTTGTTGTTTTTGATGATTATTACTAAAAATTCAAAAAAAAAACGTTGTGTTTTGCAAACTTCAATTTCACTCAAATTATAGATATTGTTAGGGAGATGCAATTTTAGTAGTGTAATTTTTTGCTGTTGTCGTTATTGGCCCAGTAACTTTAATCACTTACAAATTTAGTCCAGTAACTAATAAAAGTACACTTTACGACATAAAAATCTAACTCCGGTGACATCTTTTCCGGTATGGTATCGCCGGAAAATGTACTTTTCACAGGAAAATCCTTAAATAGTTCATATTTATTAGTTATAGGACCAAATTTGCAAGTGACTTAAGTTACGAGATTAATAATGAAAACAATCAAAAATTACGGGAGGAAAATTGCAAAGTTACAGGCCAAAAGTTAGGGACGCCAAAAAAAAATTTTTATAATAAAATTTTGTGACACGACATTAATAAAGAGGTAAGGGTCAGTTTGGTCCTTGAAGTTGCATAAAATGTGTCAAATAAGTCCTTATAACGTCCTTATTGTCCGGGAGTCGTCATTTGGGGTGATTCCCGGTGGAATGTTTTGATAAAAAATTTTGAGCATCTTATTCATTAAGTCTAGTTTACTCATACCAAATTTCAGATAAAACTTAAACCGGGAAGGCATTCAAATGAAGTCTTGAAGATAACTACGCAGTTAAAAGCGCAAATATCTTCAAGACTTCATTTGAATGTCTTCCCGATTTATTTTTTGGCTGAAATTTAATATGAGTAAACTAGACTTAATGAATAAGATGATCAAAAAATTTCATCAAAAAATTTCACCTGTAACTGCCCCAAATGACGACGGCCGGACAGTAAGAACGTTATAAGAACTTATTTGACCCCTTTTATACAACTTTGAGGACCAAACTGACTCTTACCTTAATAAACTAAATGTAGGTGTATAGTGAAATGTGTAATTTGCCATTATCAAGAAAAGTCGATTAGTCAATTACCTTCCGAGCATCATAACAGTGGCTTGAGGGTTGGTCCCAGGAGAGTAATGAAACGTGGATCCATCCACCACTCGCAAATTATTAACCCCGACAACCTTATAATCCGGGTCGACAACCCGGCCCACTTGGCATCCTCCATGGTAGTGCCAGATTGTCATCACCGTGTCCCTGCAGAACTGCTCCAGAGACACGGAGGCGTTGGTGTGCTTCGGCAGCAGGTTGACCGGCGCGGCGGCAGTCATGTTGAGGAGGATCTGCCAGGAGAGGTTGTCGTACCGGAACTTGGAGAAGGGTCTGGACTCGACGACGGACTCGATGACTTTGATGCCGTCGACGCAGCGCCGTACGTCCTCCGGCTCTTTGAAGTAGTTGAAGGTGACGGCGGGGTTGTCGTCCGGGCTCAGGGTCCGGAGTAAGAGGTTGCCGGAGGAGAGGGGGCCCATTATCTTCTCTAGGATGAAACCGCCTTGGAATGCGGGCGGCGCCAGCTTGCTCATCGCTTCAGTGGCTTCTGCTATGGCTTCTGGGGTTCTCTGTTTCGGTGGCACCGTCGACAGCTGTCCGATCTGCATTCCATTATACCCACTATAATTAATTTTTGAGAAGATAAAAAGAAAGTGCATACTTTATTTATTTAAATCTAGTTTGATCTAAGTTAATTTGAGTTAATATGCTCATGTCTTGTTTGGTTCATATTGTTTTAAGGTGACAATTCTGATATCAATTTTAAAAATGAGATATCGTACTTATTATATCATTTTTAATTTAGATTTAAATAATTCAACAGCAACATTCTCATTGGTTTACGAGAACAAATGATTCGGAATGAATAGCTATAAAATATGATCAAAACGTGTAAAAAGAAATATATTTGTTTTAAGAAGTGTTTTATAGGACAAGACTTTTTAGTAGGGAGATTTCCCACAATAGGAGTAAATGAAGTTTGAAATTCCAAAATAGGATTACTTTGTTTTTATTCCCGAAATTGGACTAACATGGCAGTATTTACCGTCATCTTGTAGTCATGACTGTCAAATAATTGCAGTACAGTGCATTTAACATGACAGTATTTATTATAATTAATGACAGTATTTTTCAATCATGACACTAATTTTCATACATGACAGTAATAACTCATATTTCGAGAAGAAAAACATACAAGCCCTATTTTTTGAAATTCCAAATGTCATTTGCTCATATTTTGGGTAATTTCCTTTTTTGGTTATTAAAGAATAAAGTAAGTTGCTTTTTAGAGGAGTAGATGAGTATACACATCATACCTGAGGAGAGAACATTCCATAATGAGTGGTAGAACCACCGAAGTTCTCACCGGAAGCAGCCTCTATGTAAGTTCCGAAGGAGGTTATCCCGACGACCTGAATGAGGGACACTTCAACGGGGACCGGTGACGGAATGTAGACGGCGTTCATGGGGTTATCAGACATTCCTTGCCCAACCAAGGGTTGGTCCAAAACAACACTTATATTATGGGCCTTAAGATGCTGGGCTGGACCTATTCCACTCAGCATTAATATTTGTGGGCTACCCAATGCACCAGCTGATACAATAATCTCATTCATTGCCCCTCTATTTAAGATTGCCCTGTGTGATACCCCTAATGCATCTCTGAACACCACTGCATTGGCTACTATCTTCGAATTTCCTGCAATTCCTTCCATTTTTTATTTAAAATTAGATAACTCCTAATGTACCTAAAAATCCTCAAAATAGGACCACAAAACGAAAGAAGTTTAACTATTTTTTCTTTTTATTTGGCCGAAGTAAATTTCATTTTGGGATAAACAACATACTCTTCTACTTATACAGTTTTGCTAGGTGTACAATGTGTGCACTTGTCTGTCCCCCGTAGATAAGTGTACACATTTTGTGTACACCACGCATTTTTCCTACTTATATAGTCCGTATTTCACGCAAGTTTCGCATCTGCTTGTACCAATTTGTAATGTATGAAGTTGTTTTGGAGGAACAAGTTAGGATCCTATTAATTGAACATAAATTTTCTGATCTAATCTGATCAATTTAAGACTTGTTTGATCTGAATTGGTCTTGTAATCGTAGAAATAAAATATGATCTAATCTCATCAAGTTTGATCTAGTTTATGTCGTTCACATCCAATAACTTTTCTGTGTATAGTGTAATTTCCTTAAAATCACACTGAAAAAACTAACGGCCGCGCGCGAGAACTTTGTTGCCATCAATATTACGTTCCAATTGAAAAGTTCTTATTGAGCAATAAAAAATTTAGTTACAAACGTGATCTGTAAATAAAAGATCTAGAAATAAATTAATTAGAACATGATCTGTAAGTAAGTAAAGTTAGAGGAGTCGAGGAATGATGAATACACCAATAGGTACATTACTAAATTTGCCATTCTTTCTCAACCATTTGTAAGAGGCAAATAAGCTAGAGGTTTATGATGGAAGGGAAGATAGGGCTACATTTATAAATAATTAGGGCTACATTAATAAATAGTTTTTTCAAAGACCATACTATAATACTTCATCTGTTCCCTTTTAATTGCAGCAGTCAACATTTCACGTTTACTAACCCACAAGTTTTACCATTAATATCTTTCATTTTTTATTAGTAAAAATTTTAAAAATTTCATATTTTGAAAATTTAGAATGAGAAGAATTTAACAATATTTTATTAAAATTTAATTTATAATACATTAATTAATAAAATATAGTTAAAGACTCAAAGTAGAATATATGAATAGTGCAAAAAGTCCAATGTTGCAATTAAAAAAGAACAGATGTAGTACCTTACAAATAAATGAAGTTATCGTGTCTATGTTATATTTTAGAAATAATTAAATATACATAGTATATGACTACAATTAAAATTGTTTACAAAAATATGACTAAAGTAGTAATAATGGAATCATAGTAACTTATGTTCAATTTTTAAACTTAGGTTATCGTGACAATACATTGTAGCAACTATTAATTACGGAGTATATTTGTGTAAATAACTTTGATTTTAGTATTACTTTTTGAAACAGCTTATATTTTATTGATCCATTGATTAATATTTAAATTATTCAATTATAATATTGTAATTAGTCACTATACCGTCTATACGTGCATAGAATTTGCCTTTTTTGAAATATTATTACTGTTATTTATTAAATACTTCCTCTGTCCCTGAAAATTCTTCTCACTTTTTTTGTTGGGTCGTTCCAAAAAATTGTTTACACTTACCATTTTTGGACAATTTGTGTGGTTCACATTCATTTCACATTTTTCTTACGAAATCACAACCATACATTTCCACTTTATTCCACTTTCTTAATAAGCGTGACAAGCCAAATCGGTAAGCATTTTTAGGGATGGAGGTAGTATTTAAAGTCACCATTGTGGTTTGGGTCTCCATCAAAATAAGTGTATTCATGAAGGTAGTGAAGTAATAAAGGACATCTATCTATCGATCATAAAATGCTAACCTTTGTTGGTGAACAAGATTCTGTGGACGGAAGCATGCAAGAGCACAGTAAGGCGAGAAGGGTCGGCATACTCCAGAAGATCAGCCGCCGTATGACGGTGGCCGGTGGAGTTAAATATGGTCCCACCTACCTTCGTTCCGTTGATATGGTCGTACGTAAACCCATTATAAGGCTCAATCCCTGCCTCCAGCAACCCCTCCCTCACCGCCGACTGCCACTCCTTCACCGGCGGCTCAAACGCCACCTTCTCCTCCACCCACTCATAAGACTCGTTCACCGCGCGCCCGTCCCACCCCATCCGGTTCACGTAATCCGGTGCCGCTCGCGTGTAAAACCCCGCGTTCAGGCAGCTTCCGCCCCCCAGAACGCGGGCACGCGCGTTTATCACCCCGTCCTCGGAGATGAACCTCTGCGACGGCGAAGACGCCGACAGGTCGGAGAGGGCGGCCCCGAACGCCGACATGTGGGTGATGTTCGGATTCCCGTAGGGCGAGCCGCCTCGCTCGAGCAGAAGCACGCTGTAGTTCTGGGATAGCGTCGCCGCCAACGGGCACCCGGCGGTGCCTCCGCCGATGATGATGTAGTCATAGTGCGACTCCGCTGGCGCCGTCGTTGCCGGGCGCAAGAAAGAGTAATTCGGAGCTGCCGCATAATACAGAAAACAAGCTTTGATTACATACTGATGGATGGAAATACGAAAAATAAGAAAAAGAGACATTTCAAAGTACTTTTGAGCAACAAATAAAGAAAATTTAAGAGGAAAAGAAGAACCTTTTTCAGCGGAGGCATGGAAAAGGAGAAGTAATCCAAGGATTAGTGCAACATTGACCGAATTAGAGAGATCAAACGCCATTATTATCATCAGCTAGCTAGAACTTATTCTTGATTTTCTGTGTAGTTACAATTATTAAAGCTGGGAATTTATATTAAACAACTAATGAACTGAAAGCTTCAAGGGGATTATGGATTGGAATTGATAAGTAATTAGCATAAAATGCAGAGTTATATTGATGTCATCAACAAGTGTGTCGGCAACAATATAGAGAGTATAAAGGTTGTTCTTTGGGTTTCTAGGCTATGGATACGAGCGGAAGGGAACATATAAAGAAGCAGTGTGGAATGCATGTAGAATTTGTGAATTATTATACTCCATGTATGGTTTTATTCTATTATTATAATTATACTCGGTAAATAATTAATATACTCCCGTATAAAAGTTTAACGAGTACAAATGATATTTTATACTACCTCCTCCGTAACTCTAGAATCTTCCCAGTTTGACTCTTTTTTGTCAAACTTTATAAACTTTGACCATTAATTATTCAAAACTCACATTATGTTATGATTAAAAATTTATTTCATATACCTCATTGTAAAACATATTATTTGAATGTTAATTTATTATGAATTTTATAAATATAGATATGTAGATATTTAGAGTCAAAGTTCAACTTAGAAGACTGTGAAAAGTCAAAATGGGAAGATCTTTGTGTTACTACGTATTACATAAAAATAATTTTAAGAATACACTTGCTAGTACCTCAAATAAGTTACAGATTAGTCCCTCAATATAAATTGTCTAAGATCTTGTAAATGTCGTCCTTGACGTTATCAACTAATTAGTAACTTTGAGTATGACACAAAATTGAAAAGACGTAAACTACATTTCAACATGAGTAATAATTGAATGATTGCTCAAAATTCCCATTTTTTCTACTTAGTACTCCGTATAAAATAAGAAAAAATGGAATTGGATTGTTGAATTAGTCTAAGTTTTTCCATCATTTAGAATGGAGCCAAAAGTTTACTATCTTTTGGTTTGGAAATATGATGAAACAAAGCAAAATGACTCATTAAGTTGTTTGCGCTTCTTTGTTATGAATCATCAATCAATCCATACAATTTTCTACACGATTTTCACTTTAGGTCATCCGGAAATCGTCTCATGTTTTAGTATATTGGTAAGGTTGCGTACATCTGACCCCCTTACCCCACCGTAGATGAGAGTCTTTGGGGCACCGGGAAAATGATGATGAATGGTTAGTCTAGTATTACACAAATTATATATTTTTGAAAGAACAAAAATGTAAAAATGAGAGCACAGAATAGGCCAGGATCGAGGGGAAGTACCAAGTTTCTATACAAACGTGTGGTTGAAAATGGGAGAGCGCATCAGTTTAGGAAGGTATGAAATGCCTCAAAGCACCTTCAACTACTCATTGGAGCGACTAAAGCTTAAATTAATGACAATTAAACACCATGGACCTATAGAGTCTTTTGAAATAATGGTGGATCGATCGCGAATGTGTCATAAGTCTCTACCTTCTAGCTTTTGTACTGTTCAAAAAGTTTCTAAAAGCTTCTAGTTATATGTTTGACATGACAATTTTTAAGAATTTTTCAAAAATTAAAAGATCTTTTTTTGAGATGCTACATGGAGTAGCATCTGAAAAAGCCCGTGACTTTTAATATTAATTAGTCCTAACAGTTTGTATACCAAACCGAACTAAATCAAACAGTCAATTTTTTACCAAACAGCTACCACCTTTTCTCTTTAAGATCTTTTCAGTCACTAAAAGCTAACATTTATTAAAAAGCTCACAAAAGTATCTTTTGAGCTAGTTGTGCCAAACATACACATGGTTTGATCGGGTAACAATTAAGCTTTAGAGTTGCTCTATAAGTAGAAACCAAACCGATTCTATAGATTTTTATCCCGAATCGAAACAGTACCGTTTGTAACAGGGAGACCGAATTGAAAAATACCCGACCGTTCAAAAATATAAATCTTTAAATCTTTCATAGCATTTCATTAGTATGTTCTTTAATTTCTTGTATTTTTATCAACATTTCATATGAACGGATCAATATGATGGAATAGTTTGGCATTATACTATATTGTTTCATACCGTTCTGAAACGATATGATACCGAATAGTCGTTGCCTCGTTGCAACTTTATAACGAGACCGGATTGAATCATTGAAAATCTCAAAGATACATAATGAATTTTAAAATTTACTGAATCTATCAGTGTTATTCAAACTTTATATTAGAATAACTCATAATCTTATACCGTGTATAATGTTTTATTACGGAGTATTTTACATGAAGGCCACATGATTAGAGTAGAAACGTGTATATATACCATTAATTAGACTAAAATCTGTGTGAAAAAAGTTCTTTTTAGCGATTACTTGTCTTTGCTACTATGTATTACCTCATGAATGAATACTCCCTCCGTTTCTGAAACAAGTTCCACCTTTCCTTTTCGGGCAGATTCAAAATTAAGTTCCACTTTCAAACATTTCCTTATTATCTACATCAAAACAGTGTCAAACAGTGCCAAACAGTGTTCAAACAGTGTCAAACAGTGCACTCCACAGTAAAGTCAAATTTATTTTCTTAATATGTGTGAAGTCAAATGTGGAACTTGTTTTGAAATCGGAGGGAGTATATAGCAAATCAGCAGTGCAACAAATTAAGCGGTGCTGGAACCATAGTAATGAATACATTTGTAATACAACTGGACTACTCAATGACGCGCAATGCGCAAACACAACTTCAGCTATGTTTCAAAAATTCAAAAATGCATATTTTGGGAATAAAAAATGACAGTCCTATTTTGAAATATAAAAACGTTTTTAGTCCTATTTTAGGTAATTTCTCAATCTTTTACTCATTTTTATTTTTATCAACCTACTAGTAATTAACATGTTTTCGTTTAATTTGTTAATCTTGGTGAGAGTGTTACAAGAATTCTAAATTTCTCAATATGAGCATTGTACTGTGATGATATGAAATTAAAGTATTACATATATTATACTATCTATTATGCTATTTTTCCGTGTTTATGCTATTGCTTTGATCGTATATCCTAGCTTTAAACTAACTATTTGGGAAACTTTTTTTTATTGTCATCGTTTCTATTGTGATTTTATTATTGTAATTTTTCTTCTAAAAGAAAAGGCGAAATCAAATCAATTCACAAAGTACTAGAAAAACATTTTGAATAAAACTAAGTAAACCTGTGTTGACAAAGATCGATCAATAAGTTTTTTTATGTTTAACATTTCCTTTTGATGAAGAATTTAATATATAACTGTTAGTACCCAATTTTGATAGTTTTGATGATGTCACTATACTTTGCACGTGTACATTGTGTCTTATAAAATAGCATTTGAATTTGAGTGACAAAAATAAATGTACAATTTTTGAGACTAAAGAAATATTACCGGAAAAGTAAAAATGCAATAAGGTAATTTTTATTTACCTTAATAGGATATTTAGATCCTACCGGCATATACGAAGTATTATTTAGCTCAAAGATTAATTAAATGTCACATGTTTTGACGAAAAAAGAAGCTCGAAAATCATATACATTGAATGTATATGATTGAAGACAAAACTTGACTAGCATTGAATGCTAAATTTGTACTGGGGACCGGAGCATTGAAGACGCACACATGACATTATTTTTGAAGAGATGTTTCAGGGGCTAAAAGATTATTGAAGACAAGAGAATCGCCGCATTAAAAGCTCCAGCACAAGAAGACGAATGTACAAGTCGTCCGTGTCAATCTTCAACGAACATGATTAATTCATCCTAACCAACGGATGAGATTAATCAACAGGAGAAGCCTATAAATATAGGCTGAAACGAAAGTTTCTAACCAAGCTTGAGCATCCTAAGTAGAGAGATACTTCTATTGAGCATTCACAAAATATCTAGCAAAAGAGAAAGTGTTATTCTATACTCTCTGCTTAGACTCTTGCTTCACTAAACTTCTTAGTATCAAGTGTTCATTGCTAAATCCTAGAAGTTTAGTTCCTAGTTGGAGGTTAGAACTTTCTTGTAACCAAAACAGATATTGTTGTAAACACTTCAGGAGGACAGTTGTTCCCGGTTTTTGTGTGGTTAGATAGGTCAGGACTCAGGAGTACCTTTTGATCCCCACTGGATCAATTGAGAAAAACCTAAAGGATTGAGTAGCTTGGAGTGGTGTTGTACTCCTCGTGAAACACCTTCAATCTAGGCCAGAGTTGTCAAGGCTAGATTGGCACTAAGTGTATTGGGCTTAATACATTAGTGAAATCCATTTGAAATAAAATGGGACTGGATGTAGGAGGATTACACCACCTCTGAACCAGGATATACTGTGTGTTGATTTATTTTCAGTCAACAAAGCACACACTGAACACTTCTCATAAAATATTGTAGTTTGCCAGCAGCATCCTAAGCAATAGTCTTAATTTGACCCTACTGCTTATCCTACTGCTTAATAACTCACTTTCTTTGAGATACAAGAGCATTACAATATCACAACTATAAAGTCTGTTCCATTAGATTTCAGGAAATCCTACTTAAGGCATAGCAGTTGCCTCAGCAGTCCCCTGGTGACTACCCAACTGCTAAGCACATTGCTCACGCAAAAGTGTTTCCTTTGAACATCTCAACTTCATCAGACCTTCACAACTCTATCTCCAAGAAGTCTGATCAAACTGATCACTGTAATTCAAAGTGGTAACCCAGCAGGTGCCTCAGCAGTTCCCTCACTATCACCCAACTGCTGAGACCACTGCTCCAGTAAAACTCTCACTTACTTGGACTAATACACATCTTCAGAAAGCCCACATCATCCTGAGCAACACCACATAATCAATCTTTCCATACATTCACCTTTATTTAAGCAGGTGCCTCAGCAGTTCCCTGGTTACCACCCAACTGCTAAGACCACTGCTCTCATTAAGATTGATTATTAATCTACCTTGTTATATCATCAGAAAGCTCTTCCCACTCTAAGAAAGATTCTGAGTGCACTGTCATCATACACTGAGTATTTCGCTAGCAGTTGCTTCAGCAGTTCCCTGATTTCTAGCCAACTTCCAAGCCAACTGCTCACCTTATAAAGCCCAAACTTCATCCATCATAGAAAGTGTTATACACCATTTATCTAAGAGGTTAAAGACTTCCGCTGTGCATCTATAAATCTCTCAAAAGATTATATATCAACTCTTTAGAGGGAGAAACGTTTTAAAATTGAAAAAGCTTTAAAAGTCAATTCTTCCCCTCTAGACTTTTACCTCTATCCGGGACCATCAATAACAATGATGGAAATATAAAGTTGCTATGTTTATCATAGTAGCAATAATGGCAAAATAAGTTATTTCTATGTTCTTACCGACTAGAGAACTCATCGAGTGCAAAATGAATTGGAACACTCATTTTTTCCATAATTAGTTAAAAGCAAAACAACATACACTAAAATTGAATATCTCCCCGGCGCACTATTTCATGGATGAGGCAACTTTCGGATGGGAGCGAAACTTCTGAAAATTAAAGGTTTTTGTTACTAATTTTATTAATGTTAATAATATTTAAAAAATAACAAAGAACCCTGTTGACTTTGATTTTACACTATAAAGGGAATTGTAGACAACTACTCTGAAAGTGCTACCCCTTTTGTTTGAAAAAATAAAATATGTTTAATAAAGGGAATTGTTTTTTCTACATCTGTAATAAAAAGTGAGAATGCAGCTACAAACCTACAACTTGCAAGAATTTTTTTCAGAAATAAAGTTGAATTGACCATGTCAAGATTGCAAAGAGAACATAAGCGACAGGAATTGATGAGAAGAAGAAAACAATTTTGGCTTAAAAGATTTGACACTTTCTGCCTGAATGTGAATATATAGAGCACACACATCTAAGAAAGCCAGAGCACAAATCGGCAATACCATATTATTGAAATCAGAGAAGTTCCTTAAAAGAATAGGTATGTGAGGTTTGAAACTATAACTTGTTTGTTCTAAAACACTAGGTGACAAAGAATCAGTACAAGGAATTGTAGGTAAAACAGGTGGCAACAATGGATGCAATGCAAATGACAAGCGATGGGAGAAGGGTGACATTTAAGAGTCTGCTCTGTCCCAAATAACCAGCCGCCGTTATAGTGCCATCTGCGATTACTCGAGCAATCGTGCCTGCTTCTGTCGACAAGAGGCCACCGTTGTACGTGCCTCGGGAAAGCCTAGATGACATGACTCGAGAGAGGAGAGACAAGTTCACACCTACAATACAAACACGTTAACTTGCGTAAGGTATGTATTTTAACTGATTAATATAGAGTATTAAAATACACAGGTTCTTTCTTTTAAAAGAAAATATCTTACCAGAGACAAGATTCACGGAAAATATTTCTAAACTTTTTCTTTATTTCTGTTATCAAGGATTTTGTGGAGAGTGACGTATTGTTTTGAAAACGGAGCTCTTTTCCTGGAGTTGTCATCTTCCTTTTGGAACAAGTATATTACTCCGTATATTTATTTATACATGGTCAAAATTGTTTAACAGAAAAACATTTTCATGAAAAAACATTTTACACGAGTTGTTTTCCCGGACAGTGGCACATAGCTTGACTGCCAACAGCTAATATCCAAAAGCTGAACCTCAGTCTGTTATCAACATAACATCTAGTGCTTTATAGAACACCAAATACCTTATGTGCTAAGCCAATTTGAAAATATTTAACCCAGAATAAATTGCACCAAAATCTGGGGTAGATTTTACCTTTCCACAAAATCAAGATTTTCATGCATTTTGTGGGTTTTGTGATATCTCATTTATACGCATTATGTGATTGTTTTTACTTTTTCAACTGTGAGACGCCCTGACCATCGCCTCATTCAAGATTTAGGCTATTTTAGCAGCATATATTTTCTTTTAGCTGTGTGACTCCCTCCAAGACGAGAAAATACTACTTTTTGGCTTTTTTGCATGTTCAATGAGAATAAGTTCAATTGGAAGAAACAGAAAACATTAAAATTTTACCTTCCAACACCTCAGCAGATACAAACATGATCAACCCAGATATGACATACTGCGGCACTGAATATGGGACCATTACTTGAAAGCTTAAGAGTATGCCCAAGAAAACCATAATTTCAGAAGCCAACAAAATTTGCCTGCATACATGACAAAAATGAAAACCATATTTGTTGTTTTGTGAAACTACAAATATTACGATCTCAGATGTTGTGGGAAATTAACAGAGGATGGTGGAAAATAAGTGATAGAAACTTCCATTATCAAGAACAAATATTTACCTGTCCTGGAACATGTTACTTATGTAGCTTCCCACAACTATATTTACTGGAAGAACAGTTAAACCAAGACATGCTAGGAAAATTGCCACAGTTCCGGTTGACCACTGAAAGTAATATGTCGTGATAACACTTGATTCCGATAGTAAAATCTCCATAGCATATTTCAGCATAAAGTATATCAACAGCTGAACCTGAAATTGAAGCATGTTTCTATCATCATCCATGACTTCATGTAACATTGTAAATGAAACTATTTCGAGTCAGTGATTCACAACGACTGGGAATCATTTTTTCTAGCTATATTTATAACTTTATTTATTCATTTTACTGATTCTGGACACATCGCAGTACTCAAACTTTGAATTAAAAGTTAATAATGATAATGATAATACGAACTATTGTTGTTGTTGTTGTTGTTGTTATTATATCTACCCGTATAGTAATAGCACAAAATGTACCTTCACGGATGGAGTAAGTAATCTGTATGCTGATCCAATTGAGTTGGCAGGTAAACGAGACTCCTCAGGAGCTTCTTCACTTTCATCACATTCTTGTTCGCCATCACCATCTTCATCTTGTCCTTCAGATTTTATAAGCAGTGGTTGAGCAAGGCCCTTCTCAAGCAGCCCATTGTTATCTACCACTACAATTTTAACATTGAATTCACGATAAGATTAGAAGTCCTGAATTTTTACCAAGTGCCCCACAGAAGTTGAATTGTGAGTTTTAAGGCCCCAGAATTAAGAATTCCCGAGTAAAATGCATTTTGGTCTCCATAACTATAGGCCTTGCAAAAAAAGTCATGTTGGAATTATTTTTGGCAATTCATATCTGTTTATTTAAAATACCAATCCTAGAAGATGAAGGAAAGATAAATTGGGGAATCATAAGAGACCAAAACTAATAACTTGTACAAGGATTACGTAAATTGGTCATGGAACTAAAGGGGTTGAAAACTTTAACATGTTGGAATTGCTTTGGCAATTTAGACCTATCTCTTTCAAAACATTGACTATTTATTCACAAACCCACTGAAAGTTCAAGTGCATGTTTGGTAGGCAGAAGTCCCTACCTTCTAGCTTTTGTACTTTTTAAAAAGTCTTTGAAAGCTTCTAGTTGTATGTTTGGCATGCCAATTTTTAAGAGCTTTTTTTAAAAATAAAAGGACTCTGGTGCAATAGGAGGCTTTTCTTAAGTCGTAATTTGGGTAACTAAATTGTACCATTCAAATTAGAGATCTGATAAATTGAGGTAAAGAATACAATTACATTTTACATGTAACAGGATGGGAGTATATGAGAACAAATAAAAAGGCAAAGATTAGTGAACATATATACCCGGATTAGATTCATGTGGAACGTTGATCTCTTCAATCTCTTGAACAGGTTCTCTAAATGAGATCCATAACCACGCCAGATACATTAACCATGCCAATGCCATAATCCAGCCAGGTAAAGTTTCTTTGTTCAATGTTAGCTTGTAGACTTTAAAATCACCTTGAAGTAGACCGGCAAGTGCAGGTCCACAAGCCATTCCAAGTGCACTAGCACTGACAAAACCAGCTGAAGCCTGCATTCGGATTTTAAGTGGCACACAGTCACTAATATACCTTCGGTTCACCGCTCTAGCAGAACCTAAACTGCAATTGAAAATGGCAAGACCGCCCAAAAGCTCTGTCAAATTATGCTATTAGCCTCATACATGAAAAAGATTAAATGAACTTGGAATAAAAGGCAAAAGGAAAACACAACACAGAGAAAGAAACATCATTTTTGAATTGGGAAACAGTTGTTCAAAAGGTCTATTTGATGGAGATGTTGGAGAGAGACTTTAGAGGTATAGAGGATTAGTCTATTTTATGATAAACAGGATACCCTAAAATGAATAAAAGATGATTAAAATGTTACACGATCAGATATTATTATGTTAACCTTTGCTTTTTTTAAATCTAAAATAATATATCAAGTATATAGACTCGGCCATGAAAATCTGTCCCCTATAATACTCTCCATGCAAACAGGCCCTAAGTGCTTTGCACTAGCATGAAAAAAATCACGAGAGAAAAATGAGGTATTATAGACTTATAGTATGCTTGAAAAATAGGGGATTGTATGAGCACAGGCCCTCCTCAAGTTAAGAAAACACTATTTGTAAGAAGCCACAAGATATTTTTTACAAATGTTTTTACAAGTACGCCCCCCCCCCCCCCCCCCTTCCCCCCCACATTAGTAAATTTAGATATCTATCAATATTAAGGTATATTTGACCCCTTTGAAAATAATTTCAGGATACTCCATTGGTACGCATTAAGCATAAGAAGAAAAAAAGGAGAAGCACAAACACACTGTTTTACACAAGAGAGAGAGAGAGAGAGAGAGATTACCCGCAGAACAATCTACCTAAAAGTAGAACCGTTAATGATTTCAGGTCATAGGCCAAAGCATACATGATATTGCCTAGACAAAGAGCTACACTGCTAAACACCAATGGTCTGAAATAAGACCTGTTTGACCAGGCACTGAAATACACCGATGAGAAAACTTGTGCAACCGCCATTGACCCAATCACAATACCACAAACCGTAGCTGCAGCACCAAGACTCATAGAATAGTCATCCGCTGTTGGAACAATTATGTATGTATTTACCATATAAAGGAAAGTGTTTGCCAGGTTCAACATGAGTGACATAAAATGGTATCTTCGATCATCTGCATCTTCTTCAATGGGGCTAGGTAATTCTTCTTGTTGCATTATAAGTGCATGTTGTCCTAAAAAACTTAGGAAGTTTGTTGAATGACTTAATCTGTCTGTCGCTGCTTTTATCGAGTCCACAACAGAATCCTGCAGACGAACCAAAAAATAGATTACCAGAAAATTTTAGAATCCATGAGGGAAAAAGTAGTATTAATAATAACAACAATAATAATAAAGGCAAATTAAAAGAACGTCCCTTTGGGCTATGGATAATGATTAATAATAAGGAATTATTTGGTGGCTTTCAAGTTCAAGGAGCAAAGGCAATATTTATAGGTAGTGCATTAGATTTAGAGAATGAAAGATGATCTTTAGCATGCACCGCCCATTAAATTTATTTAGAGATCATTTAAAAATTTAGTACTCTAAAAATCAGGAAGATTACGCTTTTCCTGATAACTGCTTAACCATTGCCACAAAAAAGGCTATGGTTAACAAGAATAAAGACTCTAAGAATAATAAATAAATAAAATAATTAATATTTTTAGTATTATAGTTATTACTAGCATTACTATGATTACTGTTATAATGATTATAAAGAGATTTATTTTTCCAACAACAGATGACGAAAACAGAGTGCTAAGTATGAAAAGTCAGAATGTAAAATAAATACACAAATAGGAGTAGAGTGTTCAAGTAGTCTAATAACAAAGACAGAAGAATACCTGGAGGGGAAGTGAGGGCTGGTCATAAATAGATAAGTAGCTTCCCTGACGGTCTTGAAGTTCTGCAAGATTACGGGATATTGCTCCAACCACTGCTCCTAATCCCTACAAGTGCATCTAAATTCAGTAATAGTTGTTGAAGATTATATGTACATAATATGAATTGGAACCGACCTACAAGCTTGAGTTTATAGAAGAGACAGTTCTTCGACTTTAAAAAGGTATCACAGTCGACTTATTGTCCAAACGGGTAAAATATCCTACATCAGGTTATTATCCCATACATAAGATGAATCTGCTAACTTTATCATCTAGGTTTCAAAGTTAAGACTCATTCTCTAGCTCTAATATGTTATTGGAAAGGTTGAGCTTATTTAAATTTGAGCTTCAAAACTGTTAAAGATGGGAACTAATAAAGCTAACCCACACTGCCTAAAGAACATATCTGCTGTACAATGTATATTATTAATGATATAAACAATATCTGAGATATATATATATATATAAGGAGAGGCAGGAAGTTGAAATTTAGGTATATGAGTTAGCATCTTACCACATGCTTGAAAACTTGCCGAAGTTGGGAATATGGATGATTAGCCCGTGTTTTGACGTAGTAATTAGTAAATTTATAGCCAAAGCGTTTGTCGAACTTCTTAAGTATTTTCCGAAGTCCAACGGCATTTATTTCAACAAAGAAAAGGAGCTTTAGAAGATCACGGCCCACTTCCCTATAAGCTTCCCTGAGCTCACTTATTTTGGATATTTCAGGCTGCTCTTGAAGAGTGTCTTGCCGTTCATTGAGTTCAGCTATCCTTCCTGCAAGTGCTCCTTGTTGTTCCAGCAGAAAAAGCACAATCTTTTCAATCTGCACGAACAACCAACAGATTGATTATTCAAACTGGATGCAGCAACCCGTAACTAAAATGAGTAATTGACACAACTGCAGCATACACAGAGTGAATCAAAATACTCTTTATTTTATTGTAATCAATCATCATCATCATTACCCCAGTGCCACAAAGGCTCCCACCTACTGTGGGAAAAGGGAGGTCGAATGTACGCAGTCTTAACCCTGTGCTTGCACAGGGAGACAGTTTCCGGATGACCCATAGTGAAAATTGCGTCGAAAATTGCATGGATTGACTACTGCTTCATAACAAAGAAGCGCAGACAAACGATGAAAATATTTTTATTGTAATCAATCACAATAAAATAAATATTCTAACCATAGTAGAAAAGCCAGAAATTTATAACATCAAATTAATCATAATCTTGACATTATGTATACTAAGGGTCGGTCAAGTAAGGCCATTTAGCAGAAATGACTGAATATTATTATACTGAATTTCCCAAAAAGAAAAGCATTCGGTACTCCTCTTTCAGCCACACACAAAAAGAGAGTCAAAAGCTACTACTTATTCTATTGATACAAGCAAAGCCTAAATATAGATATTTTGCATAATAGCAATGTAACAGCGACCCTTTATTTCCTTCAAGTAAAATCACCAGAAATCTTGAAGGAACAACATGAATCTGTTGAACGAGTACAACAGATCAAGTGAAATTCCTGCATTTAATAAAGTTAAATTGACACACCAAAAACTTCTGATTCCAAACAACAACAAGCCAAGCAAAGAGCATCAAGATATACTACTCATCTTTCAAGCCAATCGTAACGAACCTGGTTGTCTAGCATTCTTGAGAAATCCTTGAGAACATGTCGACGATCCAATGCCCGAGCTTCAATTTGGTCAGCATACTGTCTAACCCTTTTCTTCATTACCTTGTAATTGATATAATATCTACAAAGTATATACATCGATTGTTCATCAAGCTCACATACAAGGATGGGTTTTTTCTTTCACAAACAGGATGAAAAAGAATTAAGGATGCCAACAATATAGTCTTCTACACAAACATATTTAAACCAAGCATACCCTTGCCATTCTTGGATTTGTCTTTCCTTCAGCTTCTTCCCAAAAGCCACCATCTTTTACTGGATTTGAGGAAAAAATCACAGAACCTAGATATAATAAAACAAAACAACCGAGACATAATTTCAGACATCCCATTTTTCAGGGTAAAAAAAACAAGTCAAAATATGCAATAAAGGCGATTCAGGTTATAACTATAAGACAGACACTTAAAATTGTGGTCCAAATCATAATTCATTATCCCAAATAGGCAGCATAGTTATATCACAATCACAACCCAGCAAATTGGTTGGGGGAGGGGGGCATTGGCTCAGAACAGATGCTCTCGCAGCCTCGCATATAGGCAATTATATATACACATTACCAAGAACCCAGAGGCACTGGGGGAAAGCGATGAACCATACCAAAACGTTAAGGAGGTACCAGATGAGCATCAACAAACAGAGGTGAAGGAGAAAGAGTTGCGACTTGTGAAGAAATCCCGTTCAGGAATATTCCCGAATAAGTCCCGGGAAAGAAGTTTAGAGCAACAAAACCTGGATTCGAATCCCCAAAACTTACTAGAACTTCGGATCTTTTTATGTTCCCGCAAAAAGACAGAAACAGGTGGCCTTAGATGAGTCCGCCGCAGAACGGGGAGTAAGCTGAAGATGGGAGAAAAAGAGTTTTGTATGATTATGAGTTGTGGCAATGGAAATTTCAGAGTTTTGGTCAGCAAACGTATAGAGCAAAGCTATTGCTAGATTGTACAGGTCTGGTGTATACCGTGTAACATGCATTCATCATCAATCATTGTCCTGCCATTTGTTCTCCCCCGAGTCCAGATTCAACGAGAGCGGTAAAAATTTGGCCTTCGTACCGAAATTGTTTATTTAATTATATATACTCCCCACCCCCCATTCAAGTTTCCAAAATCCTACAGGGCCGACCATTTATCAGTCTAGACAAACACAAAGTGTATAGGGCCTCTAATTATTAAATAGTAATTGTCCTAAGTAGGACTAAAACATTATAAAAATTCATTAATAGGACCTTAAGTTTTTTATTCTTTAAATAGGATTATATTAGTCTTATTTGAAAACATAGTAAAATTACATACCATTAATACCCTTCTTCTAATTAATCCCTAGAATTCAACTCTGTATATTTCTATCTTATCCCCTTCTCTTTCTTGCACACATCAATCGGTTATCTTCCTGCGCATAGAAATCGAACGACTTCTCCCTACGGCCTTCTCTCTGCACGCAGCCACGTACGCCGCCGCTAACCATCCCGCTTCATGCCCCTGCCATCAAACCCACTCCACCACATGCCATCACAGGTTTCTTCTCTTCTTCCTCCTCCTCTTCCTACTCCTTCTTCCTTTTCTTCACTTCTCCGATCTACTCCTCCTCCTCCTCCTATTTCTCTATTTTTCTGAGATTTGACCTTGAATTTTTCTGATTTTCCTCATATTCTTCTGTTTTTCTGGAATTTGACAATGATTTTGCCAAATTTAGGAATTCTATTTTGAATTTATTGTATTTTTAGATTTCTGATTTCTTAGTTTTTTAATAGTTCTGATTTTCCAAAAGTTTGGATGATGGTTTCAGATTTTGCCAAGTTTATGGCAGAAATGTGTACACTGACAGTCATATTATGGCAAAAACGTTTTTGTGTAAATCAAATCTTCTATTTTTTGTCAATAGCTTTGTATTTTTAATTTTTGATAGTGTTAAAGTGCTTATTTCATTTTAAAAAATTTGAATTTGGGAATATTGACTTCATATTTTTGCCAAATTTATGACATTTTTGTATTAAGCTTCCAACATCAATTTGCCAATTTTATGGGAGATATGAAAAATCCTATTCATGGCAGATTTTAAATTCTCTTCAATACTAAATCTGTCAAACTAATGGCAGATGTATAGCGTCAAGGTTGTGACGATGACGATGACGGTGCTTGGAGGTGGAGCTAGCAGTGGTGCACCAGAGATGACAAATGATGGTGATAGGGACGGATTGCATCGTTGGTTGGGCGACGCCACCCGGCGGTGATGGATGGTGGCACCGGTGAGGAGGCGACGTATGGCGGCGTTGGTGGGGGTGAAACAGTAGACCTCTCCGACGAGGACGACGGCAGCATGAGGCGATGTCGGCAACAGGGGTGACGATGGTGGCAGTCCAATTGCAAGCATTGAAATTTTTAGGGTTTTAGCAATTTTCATTTTTTACATATTTAATTATTGATATAAAATTTCATTAAGGGCATAATTGTACAAGAAGGTGGTTTTAAGTCCTATGAAACATAATTTCGAAAAGAAGACCTATTTGGGCAATTATCTTCTATTTTAGTCCCATTTAGGGAATTAGCTCATTATTAAAATGAACCCATTAATATTATATTAATTAACTAATTATTAATATAATATATGCATATATATTATATTGTGGTAGATTTTTTAATTTGTGAAATTTCAAATACATGGATCAATTTTACAGAAAACATAAATTTTATTAAAATTTTATTTAAATAATATTCATAAGTCAAATCATCGTGAGCGTTCAACTACATGATTATATAAAATAATATGAAACAAACGTAATTGATCTAGTAATGCATAACTAAATCATGTCTAAGCATTCAGATTTATTTATATTAATTAGAAAACTTAAAATTAGAAATCGACTCACAATCTGGGTCTCAGTAATTCAGTATGGTTGAATGTCATATAAAAGTTACATAATAATCTTTGCCTAATTGTTCCATTCGTTGATATTGTGGTATGACTTACGAGTATACGTGAAATAGAGGTTTTATTCTTAATAATTGTTTTCTTTTCATTTTTTAACTTGCTAAAATTTGTTTACTTATTTATAATTAAATATTTAGTAATTTGATACTCCGTATTATGTTTTTCTGTGTTAGAGGTTTAACGATGAAGCATGGTAATGGTTAAATATTTTTTTAATTCTTAATGGTTACTTGATCACTTACAAGAATGACAACAAAATGATACAATATGTTCGCATATTCAGCTTTTCAAAAAGAAATCATAGAAAACGGACTGATATTGCATTAATAGTTCCATAGATGATTTCTAATTTTCTTTCAAAAAACTGAAATGATCTCACCCCTACCTTTTGATTTGTAAGGTAGTATATAAAAAAATCATTTTTAGTTTATTTTGTGTATCAGTATTGATGTAGCATGATAAAAAATCATTTTTCAGTTTTATTTATTGTAAATGATTTTAAAAATCACATTTTTATTTGCAAACTTTGCATATCCATACCATCCTGGTACTCACCTCCCGGCCCGGTACGAGTTAAGAAAAAAGTGATTTTGAAAAGTAAAAGTTAGTAGTGTTTGGTATAATATGTGTTTTTTGTGTCATAGAAAAAGTAAAAAGAACTTTTCAGCTAAATATCGAGAAGCGTTTTTTTAAGTAAAAGTTATCATTTGAAAGCATTAATTTTAGATTTTTAAAACTAAAAGCCGAGAAGCGCTTGTTTTAGCGTTTGCAAACACTCCCTGAGTCTTTGAATGTTTCTCGTGCAACACACATGTCATTAGTCTAGTGAATAAATATTTGTATAAGTCAAATTAAAGTAGAAGGTTCCTTACGAAAAAGGATAAAGTGTATACTTCACCCGTTCTTTTTTAGTTGCAATAATATTTTTCAAAAAATAATAATTTTTATACATTATAAATAAAATGTAGTTAGCATGTGAATAGTATAAAATTTTCAGCGTTATACTCAAAATAAACGATAGTATATCGATACAAACATAATATGATATACTATTGTGTAGATTGATACCAAAGATGCTTCTATTCACTTTTATATACACTTCTTTAATTCCACTTTGTAATTTTTGTTATTTGGTTGATTTGTAAATATCTTTCATCATGACATCGTTTGAAATGGAACCAAAGATTCACTATTTTTGGTTTGAGATATTGATGGACTAAAGCAAAATGACACATTAATTATACTGTCTACGCTCAGGAGCGGATCCACAAATGATAGGTGGGATGGGCTAAGCAGTAAAAAATTGCAACTACGCATTCAAGATTTAGCTTAGGGTTGTTAATGAAATGAACTTTTTCGAACTACTCAAATTCATCCTTGATTTCGAATCCAATTTAATGACCCTAGCTTAACCAGCTTTGAACTCGAGTACAGACTAGATTTCCTGTTCAAATAGTTATTCAAGCTGAGTTCCACCGTAATGATGATTGGTTCGATCCGGACTTGAGCCTATCGTTCACTTATAAGTTATAGGAATAAATTATACGATAGAATAAATTATATATTCACTTATAAACATTCTTAGCGCAATTTTATAAATTTATTAATGATAGATTATTAAAGATTTGAGTACTAATTCAATAATTCGAACATTAATCTTTTAATGAGCATAGTCAAAACTTCTACATTCAGACGCGTTTATCGAGCGTTCAAATCGAACACCGAAAATCTATAAAGCCAAAATAAAGCTCCATTTTGTAATAGGTTAATATTCATTTCATTGTTTTGATGTAGCATGCTAATAGTAATTTCATACTCACTCCGCCCCAAATTATTTTAAAAAGTAAACATTTTTTGTCAATCAATAGTAAAGTTAAATCCTCTCCATTGATAATTAATTCACTTTTTAGTAATTAATATATATATAATCACAAACTAAATTCAAATCTCTATAAAATTGCACAATTCAAATTAGAATATAATTAAAATTTTATATCCTAATTAAGTGAATAAAATGAAATTGTTTTACCAAAAAATTGACTTTGCAAATCAATTTGGTACGGAGATAGTATGTATAATAATATTCGACGATTAACACGTCAAACTTTTGTACTTAAAATTATTCTATAATCTTCAATTGTATATGAAATTATGATGAACTAAAAATTACAAGGACTAAAATTATGGATTATATTTTAAATTAATCAAGACTTTCAATTAATTGAGTTTTTTTATTTTTATTTTTTGTCTGGAATGAACACCATTTTTTTATATAAATTTATACCTATAATTATAAAAAAAATGGGGTTGAGTTGTGCTAGAGCCCACCCTAGCCCCTACGAAGATCCGCCTCTGTCTACGCGTTTTGGTTATAAAACAGTAGTCAGACCATTCAATTTTCGACGTGATTTTCATCATGAATCATTTAAAAACGATCTCTTTATGCTTTAGTACATAATACGACTGAATACATTCAACTTCCCTTTAGCTCACCGTAAGTGTGAGCCATTGCAAGACTAGAGTAATACTTTTGTTGTTGTTGTTGTTGATATGTAAACATTTTCAATTTTGTTTTGTAGTAATGGATTAAAAACAAGTAGTAATGGATTTCTGTGTTAGAAATAGACAAATAGTGACAGAAAAACTGTCCATGCAGATAAAGACCTTGACCAACACTTGCTTATGACAAAAAGGAGTGACTAAAATGTAAAGAAATGTGCTCTTGAAAGTTCATTGATGATGGATCCCATGATGGATTGATGATTGGACAGGTTGCACTGGTGGCGACAGATCTAAGCATTACAAAGAAGGTACTACATGGACGTTATTGTGGGTACTAGTGATGAAGGGTTATACCCATCATGCGCAATTGTTGACACACTGTTGTAACACTGTTGGGAAGGTTCAGAGAATACAATCGAACCGAATCGTTATGATCCGATGTGGTTTGGTTCCAACATTTATTAGTTATTTAGTAATGGTTCGATCGTTGTTTCTTCTTAGCAGTTTGGTTCTCGATTGCTGAAAAAA